CCACAGTTTTATTTGCTCCCCCTAACTTTAACTTATTGGTGATAAATTAAGAAAGCTTGAATGAGCTAAAGCCACACCTTTTCGTTTTCCAGTTGGATTCGGGTGCCACTTTGACTTTCAACCCACTATCGCTTCGGGTCCCTTTCTCGGATCCAATGCTGACTATAGTCTTATAAGGGGCTGCTAGGTTCGTTTCTTAGATATAGGAAAATGTATTTCCATGTACAAAAACATATGTTTTGAGTTTTTTAAACTTTTCCAAAAAATAGATTGTTTCGCTTTGGTTCGCACAAAAAAATGATGGGAAACCAATGTATTTATTTTTCTTGTGTCTGGTTCGCATGGGAAAAAAGGGAAAACTTTTGTTTATATGGCAAAAAGCCGACGTGGCTGCAGTTTTTGTCGATTTCACAAGGTTGAGTAAGGAATCGGGGGAGAGAAAAAAATCGGATGTGGCGGCGATTTTCACCGAGTTTCCCTTTTTCAATCCTAACGAACCAAAGATGGAAAAAAAAACCGACGGAAAGCTTATATCCTACGTGGCCACGAAAAATCTGATGTGGAGACGGTGTAAAACTTTTCCACCGAGTTAAAAAACGAACCGAACAGCCCCTAAACGTAGATCTTTAATTGAATTACACATGGGATAAGAAACTAATATCGCAATGGCTATGTTTGGATTGAAAGAAAAAAGAGTAGGTTTTCCTTGCAAATCATTGTGGATCAAACTGCAAATTCTATCAGGTGGCACATCAAAATATTAGATCTTCAACGGCAGCCGCAAGCTTAATTTGGCAATCCAATCAGCGCATTTGCGCATTTGTTACCCTCCCCGAAACTATTTGAGGAATAAGAGTAACAGGTTCAAATCAATTAAACTGATCGAACTGATTAAATTTCAACCATCGGTTTAATTTTACGACGTGTTTGGTTTTAATTTGTTTCTTAGGGGCTGTTTGGTTCGCTATTATAAGGGGTGGAAAACTCAGAAAACCCCTCCACGTCAGATTTTTAGCCCTCCATGTCAGTTTTTTTGTTTCCGTCCATTTCTTTGTGCCGCTTTGGTTCGCTCGGATGGAAGAGGGAAAACTCTGTTGAAATCGCCGTCAACTCAGATTTTTTTCCCTCTCCGATTTCCTTCCCCAACCGAGTGAAATTAATGAAAACTCTGCCACGTCAGATTTTTTTCCTTCTCTGCTTTGTTTACAAAAGTTTTTATTTTTTTTCTATGCGAACTAAACACAAGAAAAATAAATACATTGGTTTCTCATCATTTTTTATGTGCGAACCAAAGCAAAACAATCTATTTCTTGGAAAAGTTTGGAAAACTCAAAACTTATATTTCTTTACATGGAATTGCATTTTCCTATATCAAGGAAACGAACCAAACAGCCCCTTAGAATAAATTAACCGGAACTGACCATTCTTTTGGTTCTCTCCACTCTTTTTCTTTCAATTTGTACAAAAACTTTCATCTCTAGCTCCCTCGGCTTGTATTACTTAAGTTGATGTGAGTCATTCCTTGTTGATCCCGTCAGTCACGTCTTTATTTTAGGTCCAAATAGGAAACTAACTCCATCAAAGTTTCCTTATATGGCAAAATTATATGCCTATTACACTAGTTATTTTCGACCAAACATTAAATTTGCATTGAAAATACATTTCCTAAAATATAATTGCAAACATCCAAACAGTAAATTTGTAATTAATTTTCTACAGCAAATGCTGCAACGTTTGCTGGAATTTATTTTTGCAACAAACCAAAGGAAAATGATAGGGGCACACCCCCAACTACAACCTCAACCATACCCCCTCTCTCATTTGCTACAGTGTATCGGGCCCCACATGGGATTTTAAAATTTAAAATCCTATGTGAGGCACGGTGCACTGTAGCAAATGAGAGAGATGGTGTGGTTGAGGTTGTGGTTGGGGGTGTGCCCCTAGTGCCACCCGTTAAAACTGCTCCTAAATAAAGTAGATTCATTTAAATTTCTGTGAGCAACTTGACATTAAACGGACAATAAGGCGGGAATGGCGGTTTCTTAGGATCACAGTCACCAATCTCCTTCAATTTACTCTGATCCAACCCACCCAGCAGCTCAAGCGAGCCGCACTTCTTCATCCTCTCGGAAACTGATAAATCCTCATCTCGAGTTCTCTTATGACACAGTATAATTTTGCGGCATCCGAACATCAGATTCATGTTTCTTGTCTTCTCAGTCAGTTGCGCCGATGACGACGACGGGGGATGCTTTCTCGGTACAGAGGAGACAAAGTTACTACAAACGCTCATGAGTGAAACATTGCCGACGGTTTCAGGCCAGTTGATCACAAAGGCGGATGTCAGGGAGAGAGACATGAAGAACGTTGCCACAATGAGAAACTGTGGAGTTGGCATAGTTTAAATTGAGGAGGAGGAGATATGCAAAGGGTTTGTATGTATAAGAGTTTTGAGCCACCTTTGACTCAATAATTAAAGGGCTAAATACCCATATTGGTATTTTATTTCAACCTCATTTGCCAAGAAGGTATTTTAATTAAAAAAAATCGGCGTTAAGGCATTTTAATTGAATAAAATTACCAATTAGTACTTTTTCCTCGTCGGCGACCACTTTTCTAGCGAGAACTCGTCATGTGCGTTGCACGCGGTGGCTTAATCTGTGTTTAAGCTGCTGATGTGGCACTATTTTCTGACCAACGCGGATCTTAGCTAGGACTCGGGGTGAACTCGGCGACGGCGGGGAGTTCTTTGAGCGGAGCTTGGAGCGGCAGCATAGCGTCGGTGGTCTCCGATAGGGAAGAGAGGACGGCGACGACTGACGATGGTAGGAGGTGGTCGGGTCTTAAGTTGAGGGCGAAGGGAAGCTCGGAGTTGGGCTGGTCGGCGGGAACTTGAGCAGCAACAAGTTCGGCGTGGGGAAGCTCGACAAAGAGAGGAAGAGGGAGGGTCTGGGGGATGAAGGTGGGGAGTGGAGGGAAGAGGAGGAGATGGAGGTGTTGAAGTCGGGCTCGTCGTGGACAAAAGGGGGAGGAGAATGGGGTTGCTGTCGTCAGAGCTCGGTGATGGTGAAGGAGGCAGCGGGACAAGGGAGAGTGGCAAGGTGGAGGGGCTGGCCTGAGATGTGTGGGGCTCGTCGGGGTTGACGACGAGGGAGAGAGGCGCTGGCTGTTGGAGACGAGAAGGAAGGCAGCGGCGGTTGGATCTGGAGCTTGGTGACGGAGCTTGGGTTGCTGGGGCAGAGGGGGTCGCCGGAAAAGTGGTCGCCGACGAGGAAAAAGACCTAATTGGTAATTTTATTTAATTAAAATACCTTAACGCCGATTCTTTTAATTAAAATACCTTCTTGGCAAATGGGGTTGAAATAAAATACCAATATGGGTATTTAGCCATAATTAAAGAGTGTTGTAACTTTAAAAGAATGTTATGAGAAATCATTGTCTATTTTAATACATAATAATGAAGGGTAAATTGCACATGAACTCATTATAATATCGTTGTTTTGAACTAAAGCCCACATGGTTTCATTTTGACAGATAGCCTCCCTTGTTGTTTTTTCTTGTTTTTTAGCCTTGTATCTAGGTAAAATTTCAGCAGATACTGCCCCTAAACAAAATCAGTGAGACTATCTGTGGGTAAAAGAGCAAAAATAGAAATAAATAGGGGGTCCATCTCCCAAAATGAAACTACATGAATAATTAGTTTAAAACAACAATGTTGAAAATGGGTCCACGCAAAATTAACCCTATAATGAAAGAGTTTCATGATGGATGTTAACACGGGAATTTAATGGAAATGTATATATTTGAAAATAATAGACCAAAAAAATTATTAGAAAGTAGATTTATTGAGCATATGTCTCTTTAATGTACCTTTGCGATGATTATAGTATTTTACGAATTAATTTGTTTTCCATTCTATGAAAGGTTGAGTTTTCATGATACTTTTATTAATAGGCTCAAATTTAGCTTATTTATTGTGCATAAGGAGATTTAAAATAAATCAATAAATGTGCATAACTCCAATTATAGGCCTATAAACTATGTGTTAGAATTTAGACATATAATCCTTAGCCCTCACTGTAGCTTCTAAGTTTCACTGTAATAGCAAGGACTTTAAGATGGTACCAAATCAAGCCAAGTTCAAATCCAACTAGCCATGAATTTAAATAAATTAACACAACTGCATGAGTCTAAATTTCGGCCTATAAATAAAGTGCTCAACCTGCAATGGTATAATAGAATATAAAAATATAATCTTCAATCCTACCATAACTCGGACTTTTGGCTTAGTGGCAAGAGAAATTACCCAAATCTTTTAAAAAAAGGGAAATTGCTTCTAGCCTGTAATATCCTTACAAGTATCCCCCCCCCCCAAAGACTTTTTCAACTCTCCCAAAACCCCCAAAAGCAAGGCCACAATTCTCTGAGCCCCTAAAACACAAAATCCACGAGTTTAAAACATGTGAAGACCATAATACCCCTTCTCTCTCTTTTTTTCATGATGTCACTGTGATGATTTGAAATAGGTTTTTTTTTTTTTGGGGGGGGGG